TTTCATTTCATCAGAAGATATAGGATTTTCTGGAGGAACATACGAACTTTTTTAAAAAGAACTTACAACTTACTTTACATCACTAAAATACTTATGAACTCACCAGCTTAAATGCTGATCTACTCCTTCAAAATAACTTGTATTCTCAGGAGACTAGTAGACATGTACGCACACTGGGATTCAGAAGATGGAGCATAGTAGCTTCATGTCTTGTTTTGTTATTTACTTGAAGTTAACCTTTTGTGAATCACAAACTTTGTAAACACTTTAACATTAATGCAATGGTTGTTTGTTACTTTGATTACTATGATGCATGTGTTCTGATACTAAACATGGCGTCCTCCGCCCCCGAACGTTTCCGCCGTTCCGGTTTGGGGGCGTGACAACACAGCTCAGTTCCACAACGTGGACATTAAGCCCACGACATGGACTTGACTTGATCAACCTATAAATAGCAAGTCCGTCCTCATGGTCTTGTTACACCAAAAATATACTCACACTCTCTCGTGTTGCTGAATTCGAGCCATTCCCGAGCCGACGATCGCTAACCACTGTCAGTTTCTAGCTAGATTCTACCTGCAATCAAACTTAAGGTGAGTTCATACCCCTACACTTTTTATAGCTTTTTCCATGTTTTAAAACAGGGGGGGGGGGGATACAAGTAAAATACCAGGAAACTTGTATTAAAATACAAACCATTGTTTATGTTTTCTTATAGTTTATATAACTATTATATGAAAACATATGCATACAAAACATCTTATGATACAACGGTTATCAGTTCAAATGAAACATATATTATAAACTATAATAGATATAGTTTGGGTTACAGTCTCATTATTTTACCCCTTTCAGGGCAAAGAAACGAATATATAAAAATACGATTACTTTTATATTGTAAACATGATGAATTGGGTAACAGTTTCATGCATGAATATTTTCAAATAACAAAACACGTATCTCGTTGGAAATTTGTGAGTCATTCGTCTTCATTGTACCTACCCAAGGTATACATGGAAGTCATGTTTTATAACCAGAGTCTCCTCCCGGAGAGCGTGATACTTGTGTATAGATCTATACGGGATTGATGACCCCGCACCCTTGTTGTTATCTACAACACGACTGACAAGTTATGGGTGACAAATATCAAACATAACGACGCTTGAAGAATGCCGCGGCAGACAATTCATTGGTTAGCACGGTTATGAAAACTCACATGATAAACGGAAATACGTTATTTTTACGTGAAATTAATATTATATTTATTTTACGTAATTACTCAGCACATCAAATGGTTTTATTTTTCAAATAAAACTACATGTTACGAAATTAAGTATGACATTTATACTTATACTTTTCAGTCTTGGAATATATATAAGACTACAATTCAGTTTTATGGAAAATATAGGATTTTCCGAGATAGATACGATTACTTACAATCAAATAACGTACAACTCAGTTTTATAGAAAATATCGGATTTTCTGGAAACAAAAGTGATTTCATATCATTGAATGACATATATTTTCATACAAATGCTTATGGACTCACCAACTTAAATGTTGACACTTTTTCTTAAATAACTTGTATTCTCAGGAAACCGGTAACACGGGTACAACCACGAGCTTTTGAGAAGACGAAGTATTATAGACTCATGTCTTTTAAGCTTTTGTTTATATATTGTGCTGTCAATATACAATGATTTGAACACATATGTAAAAACTTATACGTTATCAATGTATGGTTGTTGTACTTTGTTTACTATTATGCATTGTTGTGATACTATATATGACGTCCTCCGCCCCCGAATGTTTCCGCCGTTCAGGTTTGGGGGTGTGACAGATTGGTATCAGAGCATTGTTTATAGTGAACTAAGTATATCGAACCATATGATATATAACTATAAATACAATGGGACTAAAACACTCTGACCAAGAGTTATACTTTTTAAAATATAATAATATTTTTATATAAAAAGTATACATGCATACATACGTACTAGTACAGTGTCGTAATAAAAACAAAACAAAAATATTAAAGATGCGTTGAGCACTACGAGTATGCCTGAGAGTATGTAATCAGGTCTGGAATGAATATAGCCTGATCAACTATACTTATTCGAGAGGTGACTAGCATACGCTTGGTAATAGTCGTAGTGGGCAACAAATCTAAAAACTTACCAATCTCATAAACTCGAGAACCAAACATAAAATTTAAAATACTGTAAGAGTATTTTATGATGCCACCAATTACGAGTCCATGAAAACGATGTTCCCAAAATGGCATTTCGAACGCGTTATGGTCACTACGAATTTGTAGTGATGCCCTTTGGTCTAACCAATGCACCCGCAGTGTTCATGGACTTAATAAACAGGGTATGCCCTTCGGTTTAACCAATGCACCGGCAGTGTTCATGGACTTAATAAATGAATTTTTAGGGATCTATTTAAAATCTGTATTCTGGTAGATAGGATGTTGCTATGCTGTTGTAATCTGTTAGATCTGTATCCTGTAGATAGGATGACGCTATGCTTAGTGATCTGTAAGATCTGCCTGTTTGTCTGTTAGATGGTTATATGTTTAATTTTTATGTATATGTCGACATGGTTTGTGTGTGGTGGGGTTGAGGCGGTCCTTCTTCGTGGTGAAGGCCAAGATACCCTGGGCGGTCCGGATAGACTGTAGGCCCTGTGAGGCGGTCCAGTCATGTCGAAGGCCCGACGAGCGGTCCGGATAGGCTGTAGGACCTACGAGGCGGTCCAGTCATGTCGAAGGCTTGGGAGCGGCCCAGATAGGTTGTAGGCCCTGCGAGGCGGTCCATTCATGCCGAAGGCTCGGGAGCGGTCCAGATAGACTGAAGGCCCTACGAGGCGGTCGAGTCAGGCTGAAGACTCATTATGCATGTTGTTATTGGTTATGTTTATGTGGTGGTATTTTGGGGAAGACTCACTAAACTTTGGGCTTATAATTGTGGATTTTGTTTCAGGTACATCGGATGATCGCGAGAAAGCGAATGCTTGATCGTGCACCTCCTTATATTTTATGTTATGATTTCTGGGATTTCTCAGATGTTAAACTATTTTGAAAACAATTTGTAAACAATGGATGGTTTTGGAATGTTTTAAAAGTTTAAAATTTTTATGAATTTTATGGATGTTACGGATAGGCAAGCCAGACTTATACTGTGGGTGTAATTCAGTCTTTTAGATGTGGACCCAATACATGTTATTTGTATATGTTATCTGTTTGTGTGTTGGTACTTTGGGGGAACTCACTAAGTTTCGTGCTTACAGTTTGTTTATGGTTTCAGGTTCTTCAAATGATTCGTGGCAAGGCGAATGTGTGACCGTACACATCTTTGGTTTTACAACGGAACGGATCTTGGGAGACTCTGATTTTAAATAATGTTTTGGAGACAATGTTTTTGTAAACACTTTTGTTAATAAATGAGTTGTTTTGAAAATTTTAAATTTGTTGAAATTTTTGTGATGTTACACCTTTAAAATCATGTTTTGGAGATAATGTTTTTGTAAATACTTTTGTTAATAAATGGGTTGTTTTGAAAAGTTTAAATTTGTTGAAATTTTTGTGATGTTACACCTTTAAATTTGACAGAAATGCATGAATTTTTTTTGTTGATTTTAGGTTCAATAATACTAGATGTTTGCAAAAAAAAAACAAAAAAAAAAATCAAATTTATATTTTTGTGTATTTCTGGTTTATTAAATCTCTTACGTTTGGAAGAAATGTTCGATTTTATCTTTTTTTTTCTTTCTGGATCATAAAAGCCTTAAGTTTGCACATGAAGTCCAACTTAGCTGAGTTGATGCACCGAGTTTAATACCTATGTGGGGCTGAAGGTCGGGAGTTCAAATTTTGTAATACCTCTGTAAGTGCCACATGTGGGGAGATTTTCCCTAGAAATCCCTATGTGAATTGAGTTTGCCTTATAAAGGAGCTCGAACCCGAGGTGCTCGCTGAAAATTTACGAGTAGGCTTCCCCTAAATCATTTGTCGTTTCTAAAAAAAATAAAAAGCCTTAAGTTTAATTGTTTGATTCATTAAAACTCATACGTTTTGCAGAATTGTTCGGTTTTATCGGGTAAATCTGCAAAAAGGATAAAATTAAAGAAAAAAAGGTTGAAAGTGTCCGGTATTAATGAACCTAAAAAACAAAAAGATAATTTCGTATTTCTATCAAACTTAAGAGTTTTTTATATCATTATCCCTAAATTTTAAGCGGTACCAAAGTGTCAAAGAATTTAAGATCACAATTTGTTATATAATTTACATTACTAAAATACCTATGTAAACAAATATATAAAATTTACAATCTTTTATAAAGTTTTTGTTTAAAAAGAATTATATTTTCTATCGTAATAAATACATATTAAATTAATAAATATATCAACTTGATCTAGTATTAGATCTTTTTCTTTTCTTTTCGAAAGAGATGATCTAGTATTAGAGCTTCATTGTTGTTCGTCGACTTATTTAGTTTGTAGTAATAAACAAGTGTGTAGTGAATCACAATCCTAAGTTTTTAGGAGAAGGATATCATCAACATCTCGTCCGGGTTGAATTCACATCCGCTTACTTACTTAACTTCAACATGATTTTTAGCCACTCGCTTTATGATCAGCAAATCATCTCAACAACAACCCCAGTCACAACAAAAACATATTAGCATTGTCTACCCATAACAACCTCGCTCTACCGACATCGTACAGATATAAGAGGAAAATGGAATTTAGGGTTAGGGCTTATGAATTTCCAATTGAGATTGAACAATTTTAGGGCAATTTGTGAAGATTTTGGCGGGTTGATGGGGATATTTTTGTTGGTGGCGTTCAGTTGTGTACGAGAATTGAGGAAAGGGATTAGGAGAAAGCCATGTGGACGTCATGTTAACGCCACGTGGGTAACCCATCCCCTACCAATAAATCTAACAAGAAACTTTACTAAATTGAAATGCGTTATCCAAGAACGATGTGTTTTTGATGATGAATGGGGACAAAATCTATCAGAAAGAGGTAATTATGCCAAAACTGAATTACAAGAAATCCACTAAACATCAGGCATCCATTTTACTAAGGACTCATTGCCATCGACCGATTAAAGAAAAATTAAACAATTGTTTACCAAAAATCAAATACCGATGTTACATTACTAACTTCTTTTCTTCAAGGGCTCGACTCTTCTTTGAGGCAGTTTCGATGTAGCCAATTTGTAGATCCCATAAACCTTTTAACAAAATTACGAAAAAAAAAAAAATTAAAAGAAAAGAGAAGCAATTGAAGATCCAAATGCGATAAGTGATTGAGGAAAATTAGAATCGTACCAATGCAAGGACGTGTGCTGCGATCAGTAGAAGCACAATGAATGGCGCTGTATCAAGGATCTTGGTCTGATTCTGCCTAGCGATCTCGTGCTGAATCGCCATTTGTAAAGGTGCCTGTTGAGTATGAAAGTGGGGAGATTAGGGTAATTGGGAAATCAGGATTTTCTAAACTGTGGTAATTGAATCGTGTTATTTGGTTTAGTTTTAAAACCAACAATCTGGTTTTGTTTACAAGAATAAATAATGGGTGCTACAACTACAGGCTTTCAAAACCGGATATCCGAATTTTTCGGATAGTGAATTTTAGTATCCGAAATTTCAGATGCAGATTCGGATAACCGAAAAATGCATTACTTTTAATACAAACTCGATTAACAATATAAAAACAAAGATTAGTAGGATTAATAATTAGTCTTCAAATGATCAATTAAGTATCATAGCATGCCCATTGTCATTTACTATTCTTTGCTCATTAACTAAGCATCAATGATCAAATGGTAACAAAGTAATAAAATGCACAGCTCCATTAGTCGGTTTTCATGCTCATGGAAGAACATCTAATCAAACATGAGTTCCAGTTTAGCTGTAGGAATAAATGATATTAAGATTTATTGTGCTTTGAGATTATTTTTATTTAAAAAAATTTGATGTAAAGTATGTCAAAATCATAAAAAGAATACTGTAGTATTTTGAATTGAACTATTCTTCATATTTATCTATTTTTATACAAAAATCTGTTTTAAAAGGTATATTAAGCTCCTTCTAAACATGTGCAAGTTTCATGTTAGTGGCTGCCGTTTTCATCCTTGTAATTAAATATTTTTTAAGGGCTGTTCACTTGTTCATGGAGATGATTCTGCCTGCGCTTATAATACAAGCAACCCATAGAAACTTAAAAAGCATTTATCCAAGAAAAATGATGTCACAATCGAATCGACTGTAAATGGTTTGGTCCAAGGGCATTTTAGAGATTCATATATGAGAAGGTGCAGTGAGACAGGATTGAGTTTAACGCTGGTGTTGACCCGACCTAGTTTGTCATGGCAGATAATTTAAATGCATTACTTATCATCATTCAACTCTTAATTAGAAGTTTTGCATAATTGCATTAGAAATTCACCTAAATGTCAAAAGTCTGTATATCTTTAAGATCCTTATGCATGGTGAAATCGATGGAATAATAGATCCGCTCTTCTTTGTTATTTCCGATTCTTATCAAATTTACATTTTGTCTTTAATTTGACAGTGGTTAGAATCGGGATTATAAAAAGAAAGGGAAACCTTAAATTAAATACAAAATACCCCAAATGTTAACAGTGGCAATCAAGAAAATAAAATCAATAGCCCATAGAAACCCTAATTCGAAAACACAAAGCATACAAAATATACATAAGAAATGATTGAACCTTACCTGTGCAGGCTTTGACGCTGGTCCAGAAGAGTTTCAGAGCGGCGAGATTACTCCAGTAAAAAAGGTTGAGGTGGCGCGTGGAGGGGTGGCAAAAGCTCAACGGAATTACCAGGCGAACGTCTGATTTCCAATAGGTGTCATACACCGTACACGAGACTATATAATATATACATACATACATTGGGCCGGCTATACAGGGCTCGTTAAGTTTGGGCTAATACAACACATCCAAGTGTATAACCAATTCAATTACAAATATATGTTTTACGACTTTTTGATGCGTCTTTTTAATTGGGTTTGGTTGAGTCTCAAAATTCACATTCATACCCTCTGATATCATGCTTAGAAGATTTTGGTTCGGTTTTTACTCTTTTGAAATGCTTTTTATTCAGTCAGATCTTAATCTACTAATCATATTTATAGAAGAAAAAAACTATTTATTTTTTGAAGTCTACAGACTGCATAAGAAAATAAAGTTTATAAAAGTTGATTTTTTATAATTTTAAAGATTTTTTTCAATAATATGAGCATTTCGTATATAAATCTATTTATTATCTTAATAATTTCTAATAACTTAAAACTATAAGTCAATATTTATCCAGGAGATCCATATGAAGTTTAATTATAGCGTTACTATGTGTTTTTGTAAAAATCGACAAACCCATATCAATTTTAAATTATAAGAGACTCAAAGAGTTAATGATAACAAATTGCTATATAATTTATAGTTACTAAAATACTCGCGTAAATAAGTAAAACAAATATAGAAATTTTAAAATCTTTTACAAAGTCAAAATCAACATCGTCCAGGTTGAATTCACGCCAGTTAATGCTTATTTTCTTATCTTTAACCTAATACTTTGCCAACCCTTTTCGCTCTTTATGATAAACAAATCACCTCAGCAACGGCCTCGGTCACGGACAAAAGCATATTTCATTGTCCACTTATAACAATCTCGCTTGAGCAATATATGGAACCAAAAAGCAAGCAATAACATACCACAATCTCAATGACATATCATAGATAACAACTAATCAAGATAAGAAGACATGTAATATCATACACTCTGAAAAAAGAATCACAGTCAAGATGCTAGAGCAGAATTAGAGCCACAAATAAAAACCATCATAAAACATAATGATTTCATGAAAATATAATCAAACTTGTGGTTTTGCGGTTCATCGGTGGTTTATCGTGACGAACAGTGGTGCGTCAATGGCTCAACGGCAACAAACATGTGGTGTGTTGGCGATTCAACGACGGTCTTGTGGTGGTACAACGATGGAGCATCAAGTGAAGTGAGGTGGTCGAAGGGGTGCGATGGGAAGCAGCAACTGATGGAACCGTGGTTTTATTTTTAGGGTTGAAGTTAGGAGAAATGAAGGAAGCATTTTTTTTTTTTGTAATTATAACGTTTTTCTTAAGGCACCAGTGAGTTTTGGAAGACCATTTCTCATGTATTCTTGGAGAAGAGGACGCGTAAATGTTTTAATATATGTTGCCTTCTAAAAAACAAATAATATGTGAAGGAAATGTTTGTTGTAGACAAAAGTGGGAACGACCAAAAAGTCTCACAAAGATTCATAGTTTTCTAGGATTAGCTTGATATTACCGAATGTTTATCCAAGATTTTTCTTCAATAGCTGCTCCATTAACAACAATTACCCACAAAGGAGTTAGTTACACATGGAGTGAGAAGCATGAAGAAGCTTTTGAGAAGCTAAAGAAGCGATTGTGTGAAGCACCAATCCTTGCATTACTTGATGGAGTTGAAGACTTTGTAGTTTATAGTGATGCATTTGGAGTAGGGCGAGGTTATGTTCTGACCCAGAGAGATAAAGTGATAACATATGCATCCAGAAAACTGAAAATCCACAAAGAAAACTATCTCACTCATGATTTGGAGTTGGTAGTGGTGGTTTTTGCACTAAAGATATGGACACATTATCTTTATGGCACGAAGTGTAAGCTTTTTACCAATCATAAGAGTCTTCAATATCTTTTTGATCAGAAGGAATTAAACATGAGACAAAGACGTTGGCTAGAATTACTTAAGGACTATGACCACAAGATACTTTACCACCTTAGTAAAGAGAATGTTGTAGTAAATGCTCTGAGTAGAAAAATAAACCTAGAAAGGAAAAGCCCAAGAGCGTTGAGAATTGAAAATTTCTCGACAATCGTAGAAAGTGTCAAGAAAGCTTAGGAGGAAGCATTGCAAGAAGAAAACCAAAAAAAAAAGAACGTTTGGGCAAAACATTATTATTCAAATAAACAATCAAGGGTAAAAGGTATTCCAAAATAGAATTTAGGTGCCAAAGGTGGGAGGTATGTAACGCCCCGATTCTCGAATACCAATTTATGGTTATGAATTCTCATGAATTCAAGATCTACTCGACGAGTTGGTTGCCTGACGCGTCGAGTAGCAGCGGGTTTGGGCCACGTGTTTAAGTGACCAACTCGCCGAGTCGGAAGAGTGACTCGACGAGTTGGAGCTGGAGGGTGAAACCCTAATTTCTGGGGTTTGGCACCCTATTTAAGGGATCACCTCCCTTAGTCCCTTTGCAGCCTCTTGAGAGTCCATAAACCCTAATTCATGTGTGTGCTCCATATTAGTGTAAATTTTAAGCTTGGAAATAAGACCTTGATGCAAGAAGCTTGAAGATCAACAAGTTGGATGCAAGAATGTTTGTGGGTCTGAAGTCTATCTCAACTAGCTTCATTTGAGGTATCAATTCATGATCTTGGCCTCATTCCTTTCTAGATCTCTTTGGATGAAATTAGGGCTTCTTGGCTTGGTTTTGGCATTTTGAGTCATTAGAGCCTTGCATACACGTAAAGTTTGCAACTTTACGTGATAAGCATGCCTTGGGAACTTGGATCTGCAGTATGGAGCCTTGGCATGGCTTAAAAGCATCTGTATGGATGAAGGACTGAAGGGACTCGGCGAGTCGCATGGTAGACTCGGCGAGTCATATGAAGATGGTCATGAACTCGACGGGTTGGATGAACAACTCGGCGAGTCTGTTGAAGATTGCCTTGGGCTCGGCGAGTGGAATGGTGACTCAGCGAGTTGGAAAGTTATGCAAGGAACTCGACGAGTAGCTGAGGGTACTCGACGAGTTGAGGTCAACATGGACTGTTGACCTTGATAGTTGACTTTGACTATTAACCAAGGGTTGACCGTTTTGACTTTTGAGGATAATTGGTAAGCGAATATTTATGAATTGGATCATTGATGGTTATAGGTGTTGGAGTTTGGGGCAGTGTTTCGGGAGTGTGATTTCGTGGTTCAGTCCGGCATTGCAAGGTGAGTTATCCTCACTATACTCAAGGGTCTAAGGTACCAAGGCCGGCCCTTTGATTTGTTATTTGAGATAGTTACTATTGTGATATGTTAGTTCGGCATCCTGGTAGATAGGATGGTTATATGCTAGTATGATCGGTTAGATCGGTATCCTGGTAGATAGGATGTGGTTATGCTTAGTGACCTATAGTATGGTCTGACTGTCTGTATGCTGGTAGGAGATTACCTGTTATATGTGCACATGATTGAGCAGTAGTGGAGGGTATCCCATCCCGAGGATGATAGGGCCCTAGTATGTTGTCTTGTAGACTGTTATATATGATTATCTGATATAGGTGCACATGTTTGATTGATCGTATGTGGGCAATCCAACCCGATGGTTGTGGGCCGAGAGTATTCCATCCCGAGGATGATTGGACTCATCGTATGTGGGCAATCCAACCCGATGGTTGTGGGCCGAGAGTATTCCATCCCGATGATGATTGGACTCATCGTGTGTGGGCAATCCAACCCGATGGTTGTGGGTCAAGAGTATTCCATCCCGAGGATGATTGGACTCATAGTAGGTTGGCATTCCAACCCGATGGTTGAGGGCCTGGGGTATTCCATCCCGATGGATGATTGGACCCATAGTAGTTGTTGTATATGTAGGTGTGTGGGCATTCCAACCCGATGGTTGTGGGCCGAGAGTATTCCATCCCGAGGATGATTGGACTCATAGTAGGTTGGCATTCCAACTCGATGGTTGAGGGCATGGGGTATTCCATCCCGATGGATGATTGGACCCATAGTAGTTGTTGTATGTGTAGGTGTGTGGGCATTCCAACCCGATGGTTGTGGGCCGAGAGTATTCTATCCCGAGGATGATTGGACTCGTAGTATGTTGGCATTCCAACCCGATGGTTGAGGGCCAGGGGTATTCCAACCCGATGGTTGACTGGACCCATAGTATGCTGTTCATTGCTTTATGTGTATGGTTGTGTGTATGGGTATTTTAGGAGTAACTCACTAAGCTTTCGGGCTTACAGTTTCAGTTTATTGTTTCAGGTACATCAGGAGATCATGGCAAGGCAAAGGCGTGATCGTACAGCTCCTCACTTTTTATGAATTTGTTTCTGGGATACTCTGATGTGAAACATTTTGAAAACAAGTTTTGAAATGGTTAATGGTTTTGGAAATGTTTTAAAAGTTTTAAATTGGCTTGAATTCTATGGGTGTTACAAGGTATATGGGAACTTCTTATGGAAGAGTCTCACAAAACCATGTACTTTATTCACCCTGGCAGCACCGAGATGTATATGGATCTGAAACCGTATTACTGGTGGCCAACGATGAAGCTTGATATCACTAAGTATGTGGTTGAGTGTGTGACCTACGCAATAGTTAAAGCACAATATCAGAAACCATATGGAAATTTGGAACCTTTACCAGTACCCATGGGAAAATGGGAAGACATCACCATGGGTTTTGTGACCAAATTTCCCAGGACGAAAGAAGGTAACAACATGATTTGGGTAATTGTGGATCGTTTCACAAAGAGTGCACATTTCGTAGCAGCCAATGAAAGATGGTATATGGAAAATCTTTCAAAAGTTTATGTGAAAGGGATCGTGAAAGCTCACGATGTTCCCTTGACAATTGTTTCAAACCGTAACAATCATTTTACTTCTCAATTTTGGAGGAGTCTACACGAAGAGATGGGTACAAAACTGTGTTTGAGTACTTCTTATCATCCACATAATGGTGATCAAAGCGAGATAACGACTCAAACACTAGAAGATATGTTAGGAGCTTGTACCTGAGATTTTATGGGTAACTGGGATGAACATTTACCATTAGTGGAATTTTCCTACAACAATAGTTACCATTCAAGCATTAGGATGTCACATTATTAAGCAATGTACGCACAAAAGTGTCGTACGCCATCTTGTTGGCTTGAAGTTGGAGAGAAGCAGTTTATGGGTCCTAAGATTGTTCATCAGATTGTCGAGAAACTAAAAGTAATCAGAGAATGGATGCTAGCATCTCAGAA